AAAACAATTTTCATCAACAGCCTAGAAGTTACTTATGTCATCTATTTTGTTTAGAATCCTTTTTCCAACCATGCCTGCAATTTTACAACTGCAGGTCACCTCCTCTCCGTGGAGCAGCTCAGAAATCCTGTATAATTCATGTTTTAGGCTATGATTATGGTTTGTTATTGTTCAAATACTGAGGGCATTAACAGTAACTTCACAAGTAGATAAAATACTGAGGGCATTAAGAGTAACTTGGCAACTTGACCTCTTCAGGCCAAGAGGTATGGAAGAAGAAGACTGTCATGGAAAACCTGAAGCCTTATTAATAAAAGAATAATACTTATAAAAAAAAAGGCGAGAAGAGAAGATGTCAAAAGCTTTACTATGGCAACAAGGTGGGTCAGAAGCGCTGGCAGGGCCGCGGCCCCAGCGCGGATCCGCGGCCAAGCTCCATCCCCACTTCCCGTCATCTGATGTGGCTGGAGACAAACCCGCAGCTGCCCCGCTTCCCTTTCCTCCTCTCTTCCTCCTGGCACCCCCAGCGCTATTCAGACGCAGGCAAGGCTTCCTCTGAACAATGCTGTCCCGAGGAGCCGCGCGGGCCGGGCCACATGCAGAAACCATTACTGCAGCAATCCTGCCCCACTGGGAGCCGCCAGCGGGGGGCTGTGACAACAGCTTGTGCACACATTGTTTTCCAGGTGACACTCGTGGAGATGGGATCCTCGACAAGCAGCACAGCGGCTGAGGAAGGTCAACACCCCTACTTCATCCCCGCGCAAAATGAATGGGCATTGAAAGGGCACGGGAAACCAGATCATGTGAACAGAGCTGAAAATGAAATCTCTGCCTGGCCCAAGAGCTGCAGAGTGTCAGGAAGATTTAGGACACGAATGGGCACAGGAGGCAATTCTAGGGAGACAGAACTGGACTGTGTGGCTTTGCCCCATGTGGTGGGAGCACTGAGGGGTGATGAGAGCTGAGCCACAGCACACAGCCTGCCCTGCTGGGGCACAAACGGTGCTGCTGACACCAAACCACGAGCAACCACCTGCTGCCACCCTCATGCAGACCCCAGGGCAGGGATCTCATGGTCCCAGGGTGCCTGGAGACACCATCCTCTGTCACAAGCAGCTGTGAGGTCCCCTGGTGCCAGCTGAACTCTTGAGACTCCCAACAGCACCTGCTCCACAGGCAGGCAATGCTTTGAGGGCGCTGACAAAAGGAGTCACCACAACCAGCAGCAGCAGGGACAATGCCCAGCTGCAGTGCCACCATAACCCAGTGCCCAGGGCATGCCAGCACCCCCAGCTGAGCCACAGTCACTGCGTGTGTGCAACAACCTCCCAAAAGCAGCAGCTCCCAGGCTGGAATTTGTGGGCAGCCCTACATTTATAAATGCTGCTCCTGCAGCTCGTGCTCCAATGTGTACATTACCTATTAACGCCCCAGCACTTGAGTGCAGCTCCAGTTTGCTCTCTAAATGGAAGTCTTGGATTGATTCAAGACTTTCTGATCTCATTTCTGCTCGAGAGTGTCACAACCACTTATTAACTCTGCCAACAACTCAATCAGCCTTACTCTGCCTTAAACAAATCCAACATAGAAATAACAAAGGCGGCTCTTTAAAAATAAGATAAAAGCAGCAAATGCAGAAACATTTCATTTTCAGGAGTTTGATTTAGTCATGTGAGTAGTAACCTCAACAGGAGTAATTCAGAGGAGCAACCAGAACTAGAGATGTAAGCCTTTAGCATGGGAGAACAAGGGTCAAGATGATTTATAGAAATTTACTGACCATGCACTTTCTTTACACTGACAATGTGCTAAAAGGAGCCTCCTCTTCTTTTATTCACAAGGAAATGGAGACACAACATCATTTGCAGGAGAGAAGAGCCATTTTAAAGCAAGACAAAAAGCAAGACACAGAATTATAAAGCCTGAAATAAGCAGGAAGCACTGTCACTCATCACTGGGCAAACTTTAAACATTTAGGAGCATGGAAGCACTCTAGGTTTGAGAAACCACCAAACTCACTTCATCCAAGTGATGAAAACAGTAAATTTTGCCATATAAACCTATTACTTATCTGGCCAAGACTAAAAGGAACAACCTACCCTGACAGGGTCTTTACCAGCACTGAGGATCCAATGCACCCACACCCTGCACTCTGCCCTCACCCAGCCCCTGAATCCCTGAGGAGCCAGCAAACAACACTCAGGAATTCCTGTATCTAATTCCACGTGGTCAGTGAATGTGGACAAACCACAGGGACAGAGCTGTGGGAGAGGAGTGGTAATTAATGCAGAAACCTCCCAAAGCTGAATGGCTGAAATCACAAAGCATTAATGATTCCATTTAGAGGCTATTAGGGAGCTGCTCTGCTCAGATGAACCACGCTCAGAATAAACCCCAGCACCTGCACACACACAAAAACAACAAGGAAGAAAAAGTATTCCACGACAGGCACACACAATAGTTAATCAAAAATGCTTGTTTGTTGTGAGTGTGTAAAGCCCAAATTGTTTTGGTTTGCTTTCCTTTTTATACAACCTAGTTATTTCACAGCACCCTATCCAAACACTGGACAGCACATCATATTCCCTTGACAATTTAGCTGTTCAAATGTTATGCTTGCGCAGGAGATAATTATCCATAGCCTGGAGAAAACACGAAATGCTCATACACACGTTTGATGCATGCATTTACCCACCACAGCAGCCAGCCCCACCACTCCCACCTGCTCCCCACCCACTACTGCAGCCACTCTCCTCTGAACCCACACCCAGCAAAAAACACCAAAGCAGAGCTGCTGTTTGAGACAGAGCCTGTCAGCTCTGCCCTGGCACCTCCATTCCTCCAGACCCCAGCCGCTCTGGGTACAGCTCCCAGGGCTGTGCCTTGCTTTACCATCTGTAGCACCGTCACCCTGAAAGCTCCAGCCTGACATTCTACATTTCCCCGGTCTGGAGCACAGGGATGTTTTCAGCCCCAGCTCAGCGGTGCTTCAGGGGGTGCTGATGGCAGCCTCTGAGTGCGGGAGGGCACCGCGCACAGACACACCCGGGCTGGAGCGATTCCTGCCCGCAGCAGCGCCCGACAGGCACGGGC